ATGCATGGTTACTTCAGAAAAGGGGAAAGGGACAAGATCTCCTGAGTAAATTGGGAGCATGTGGAGAGGGGAAAGAGTGGTAGTAGTAAGGGGTGGGGGCAGAGGAGGCCATGAGGGATCAGGAATATCAAGTTGGGGGAAGAATAGGAAAAGAGAGCCAGGAAAGAGATACCTTAATAGAGCGAGCCTATTCCCTATGGAGGGACACTCTCTCAGCCTAGATACATGAGGGAGGGCCTAGGACCTGCCCCAAATGATGTGACAGACTTTGATGATTGACCTGCTGGTGATCATCCCCTCCCAGGGGAAAGGATAGGTGTTGGGACGGGGTTTGGTGGTGGGTATTGGATGACAGGAGTGAGAGGGAACTGGGATTGGTATGTAAAATATGATTGTTTTTAATTTAAATAAATTTTTATTTAAATAAACTTATTTAAATAAAATAAAATAAAATAAAATAAAATAAAATAAAATTATTAAATTTTTATTTAAATAAAAGAGTATTTGTCCTTGTATACATGGTGATGCCTTAGGATTGTCTTACCTCATGCTCCTTAAAATAAATACATCTGAGGCTTTATTGCTGACTTCTACACGTATTTATTGTTAATCACATATAGTCAGTTATTAAATATGAATGAGGTGAGTATGTAATAAAAATTCAATTTAAATTGTTATAACATAGATATTTAAAGATACCATGAGATTTCATTAATATCCTTTGTAATAACTAAAAAAGTTCTTGTGACTTTTTAGGGTACTTATTAATATATTTTCTTACAAAATATTTGATATACACTAGAGTTGTACTAGTAGAAATCATCAGTAGAAATCCATTTATAGATGAGGAATCTGAGGCTAAAAAGGAGTAATTAGCTTCCTCATAGTATATAAAAAGGAAGAGTAGGAGTGAGAATTTGAATCTCAGTTCTATTTGAATGCAAAGCCTCTGTTCTTTCTTCCAGTACTGCCACTACTAGTTAATGCCACTCCTGAAATGCAGGTGCTTAAGAGTATGTGGTATAACAAACACATTCCTTTTTACTACAAGTGTCAGGATAATATTATATGTAGGGTTGCAGATTATGTAGATGCAGGTACCTAGGATTCAGGACATACTCTAGTTTACTATCCATGCATGCTTGAGGAAACTACTTAATCACTGGCTTAATTTTCTCTGTAAAGTGGAACTAGAAATAGATAGAACCTTTTTCAAATATTGCTTGGAGGATTAAGTAAATTTCTAAATTACTTCGAAGAGTATTTGACATGCAATACTACCTGAAATTAAAATCCATATTATTAAATTACCACAGATAAAAATACAGTTCATTGAAAATATCATTAAAATTTATATTCACAAGGTCATCAATCAAGTGTGAAGGGTGTAACATACATATCATATATGTTCATAAATTGTTGGAATACATTTTAATGAATTAGTCCATGTTAATAGAAAGATATCTGCTCATACAAAAAAGATATTTGTCATACAAAAAGACAAATACACACATGTACAAGTAAAAAAGATATTTATATGTGTTGGGGCACTTATAAATATTACTTTTTTTGGTGGTGAAACTTCCAGTGGTGGCTGTTCAAAATTGAGATAAATAAGTCTAATTTTCAAAATATGCACATATATTATCCTTTGTTATAATCATAGGTAAAATTTTTAGAGCAAATGTCTACATAATTACCTACACTATGTTGTTCATTTGAAAAACTAGATCAATTTCACACTTTTAAGCAACACCTTAATTTCTACTGTTGAGTTTAGTTTTTTGTTTTTAATAAGCCCCCTTCTATAAATCATCTGAGTCTTAATTTTTTGGCAAAATGTTCAGGAGTTATGCATTATAAGAGCTCTATGTGTACCATTTTAATTTCCACAAATAGTGCCAGGAATAAAAATGCATTTGACTGTCATTTTAAAATTTAATCATGTCATATTTAAATACTCAAGAGGGAAATGCACATGGTTATTGTGTGCCACAAAGCCCAACACATAAAATCTAAGCAACTGTGGAGAGGCTACCTTAAATGCCCTTCCCTGATAATGAGATTGATGACTAACTTGTATGCCATCCTAGAGCCTTCACTCAGCAGCTGATGGAAGAAGAAGCAGACACTCACAGCTGAACACTGAACTGAACTGGAATCCAGTTGCAGAGAGGGAGCGGTGATGAGCAAAGGGGTCAAGACCAGGCTGGTGAAACCCACTGAAACAGCTGACCTGAACAAGGGGGAGCTCATGGTTCCCAGACAGCTGGAAACCTGCATGGGACTGACCCAGTCCCCCTGAACATGGGGCCTCTTGTAGTAGGTCAGTACTTATCTCTAGCATAGGAATGGACTTTGGGAGCCCCTTCCACATAGAGGGATACTTCCTCAGGCTAGACACACTGGGGAGGGTCTCGGCCCTATCCCAAAGGATATGACAGGCTGCGAAGATTCCCCCATGGAAGGTCTCACCCTCCCTGGGGAGCAGAAAGGTATGTGATAGGTAGGTTGTTAGTGGGGGGCAAGGGAGGAGGAGAGGGAGAGGGAACTGGGATTGACCTGTAAAACAATCTTGTTTCTAATTTAATTAAAAAATGGAGAAAAAATCAAGTCCAGTTATTTTTATATTAGTTAACTAATATGCTCTCAATTTCCATTGCATCATTCTGGCTTAAATATCACATCCAGTTAAACACACATGACAAAACATATCTCTTCTCATAAAGATGGGTTTATCATTGCAGAGCATCATCACTATTCTCCATTTATGCAAATGACCTCCTGAGCTCCTGAACTTGTCATTTAAATTAATCAAGGAATCTACAAGAAGACATTAATTAGTGGAATTTTGTAATACTATAATAAATATTAAAGAACACCTAAATGATATTGATGTCAATCAAAATAATTTCATTAAAAATAAAGAACAATGAAATTTCATTTATCTTACAATAAATGGAAAATAATATATGTTAAATCAAGTATGATGTATGAACTGTACAAAAATCTAACATGAAATGATTTATTTTGCCTCAACACATGTATAGATATAATTGTATAGGTATAATTAATAAACAACTTCTAATGGTATATTGGGAAATGCAGCTAAACAATACTAACACCTGATAAGCATTTTCATGTGACATGCAGAGTGTTGCTTTTACTGGGGGACGGAGGTGATAAGAAATGATTTTGCTATATAAACTTGGGATGCCTGGAGTTTACTGTGTACATTAGGTAAACTTGAATTGAATTTTCTGCCTTGACATCCTGCATTTTAGGTTTAAAGGTGTGATACATCAACCGCAGAGAAGAACTCATTCCCAATATTTGAAAAAATTATATTTTGTTCACTTCACATTTGTACATCAAATCATAAAAGACAAGTTGTACATTTATTTCTCATTAAGCAGTAGTACATTACAGCTACACTAAGTGGGTCATACTTTATGATAAATAATATATTTAGTTTTATATTTCTTGTTTGTACTAAAATATCTTGATTTTGTTTAACTAAAATGAGTAAATACTTTTACATTTAAATGTGCTATGTCACTAATGATTCAAATATTTCATTCAATTGTATCAACAAATCTGTTTTAACTTAGAGTCTAAAATGAAAAGTGCCATTAAAAAAGGACAGAAAAACAGAGAAAGTTTAAGGAGTAAAATGAGCTCCTTTATTGTTGTTTCTGTTTGTTTATTTTGTTTTTTTTTTGTATTAGATTTTACAAAGTCAGTCCACCTAAGCAATAGAAAATGATACCAGTTCTCCAAAGCTGATATTCATATCTCGACCCCTGCTTCCCCCAATACATGGAAAGTTGTGCTGTAACACTCAACTACATCCACACTCTTAACTTTGCATTTATGTTCAAGTCTTGTTAGTAGTAGCAATTACTCAATAGTAACATTCAAATGTTCCTGTTAAGTTATTTGAAATGAATGATAAATAAATGATGTAAAGTAATCAAGATGTGCCTCTATAGAAACAGCTGCTCAAGAGAAACAAGCTCTACTTTATCATCCTTATTTTGGTAGTTCTACTTTATCATTCTCATTTCAATTTGTTTATCCAAATTAGTTGCAAGACAGAGAGAGACAGCATGTGCTAATACTGTGTGTTCATTCACAGGAATCTGGTAGATAGAGGAACCTAGAAAAATGGAAAGCCAGAGACCTGGATCCTGCCACTTATGTTATGAGAATTGGGAAAACCATATCAAACATCAGTCTCAGTTTCTATATCTGAATATCAATCTGCATAATTATTATGAATTTGCATTAAGTTATGGTATTACTCAGAAGGCATAATATCCAAAAATCAGCACTTTATGAAGTTTCCTTTATGCCCTAAACTTACAAATTACTGTTATTAGTGTAAACACAAACATGGGTTTGCCTCATGTTAGTTGCCATTGCATTGATCACAGTCCTGTCACTATTCTTCCCACCTTTAATTACAAACTAAACTGTTGAAGAATAATATCTCCCTCCTTTTTAGCATTTCAAGTAAATAGTTATTGTTCCATTAGACCCATAATCTCAGAACTCTTCTGTCATGGGTTCCAAGAAGACAAGAATTTGCATGTAAAATACTATGTGTAGATGTCTGCGGGGCTGTATTCTGTTTTATCTCCACATGTTAGCTGCAATTGAGTCTATTTGTCCCCATTAGTTTTCTAATCCAAAGTATCTCCCTATGTTGGCCAAAGATTCAGTGCTATGTATATTGACATGTGAAATGGCACCAATGCAGAAATATACTTAGGGGTCTAATGAGATGCTGTCTTCCTTCTTAGATTATTCATGTCTGTGGACTGAATAACACTCTCAGAGAATATGTGTATTAATAAGGACACATATGCAATGAGCCACTTCAATCAGTCATGATTTCTCAAACCAGATAATGATTGAAGTCCATACTCCATTATAAATGCAGACTTTGCAATTGAAAGCAGGTGTGTATACAAATGTATTTACATAATAACACTTACTATGTTGACAGTTTCTTCCCATATATTCCCCAGGGCATTCACAGGAATAGTTAGCAACGAGGTCAGTACATATTCCACCATTTCTGCAAGGTTCAGCTTCACATTCATTTATATCTGAGGCAAAAAAAGCACAAAAAGAATTATTGGCACAAAGGAATGGATGTTAGAAAATATAGATATCTTAAATTCAAGTCTGAAATACAAGTAATATAATTTACTTCTTTGAGTTTATGTGCACAAATTTCAATAACACAAATGCTGCTTATGCCAACATTTTATTTAAAAAAATTAATTTCAGATATAATTGAGAATTCATATAAAAGGCCAACAGACTTAAACCATTCCCCAATTTTGAAAATAAATATGAGTAGTTTGGGGAAATATTTCGAATTAAAGCAGACAAATTTACCCTGATGGAGAGATGAACTGGTTTCTTTTACAAGATCTCAAATCTATCCTGCAGCAATAACTGCCAATTAACACTGTCTCATTTCATCTTAATTCATTAAAATTCTAAATGACAGAGAGGCTTAGTTTCTAGATAGTTTGCCTTTGATGAGAAGCAAATTAGAGTTAATAGCTAAAGCTCATTACATGTAAAATATAATAAGTGTAAATGATGATCACTTCCTAATTTCATTCATGAGTTTCTAAAGTTAGGGTGACTAGAGGGACTTACCTTTGCTGTATCACAATTACACATGATATAAAACATGCAAAAAGAAACTTCAGTGATTTGAACCCATGCCCATTCTAGCTTTGGACAACAGAAAAATTAATGTGAATATTTGAAATGTATTTAACTTTATCTGTATCTGTATGTGTGTTTGCATGTATGTGTTGCAAGATATTTGATTACACTGTGTAAAGATATGTCACTATGTTTGGTTTAATAAAAATCTAAATGGTCAATAGCTAGGCAGGAATTATAGCCAGGACTTCCAGACAGAGAGAGCTCTGGGAAGAAGAAATGTGAAGTCACCAGCCAGACTAGAGGGAGCAAGATATGCAGGAGGAGAGGTAAAATACACAAGTAATGTGGCAACATGTAGATGAATGAAAAATGGGTTAATTTAATTTATAAGAGCTATTTAGATACAAGCCTAATCTGGTGATAGCACTGGCCTTTAATCCAAAAACCAGGGAGGCAGGGGCTTGGCAGGTGGATCTCTGAATTTGAGACCAGCCTAGTCTACAAAGCTAGTTCCAGGATAGCTAGGGCTGTTACACAGAGAAACCCCATCTCTAAAAACAAACAAACAATAAAAAAGTGTCCATGTCAGGTATGGATGGATGGATGGATGGATGGATGGATGGATGGATTGAGCTGGCAGCCCCCCCAAAAGCCTGCTACATATATGTACCCATGTATTTATGCATGCATGCATACATGCATTAGAGTATAGTGTGGATGTCAGCCAGGAGAGAGTGCTGGATTTACAAGCAGCTTTGAGTCAGCTGATGTGGGTGCTGGGCACAGTGTCATATTTTTTGAAACCACTTTGAATCCCTGAACCATCCTTTCATTGTGTTTTCTTTGTTGTGAAATCTGATGAAATTCTCAGCTTTTTGGTGTGATCCCAATTTCAATTATTTTTAGTGTGATGGAAATCACTGTACCATTCCTTTGCTCTAAGTTCAGTTTATGACAATGATCAGATTTAGCAACCCTGGTACCTTCCCTATATGTCTTTCTCTGTATCATATCTACTGAAATGGATCCTTGATGATCTTATGTTAATGACTGATAAATTGAAGCTTCATTCTAAGACTGTATCATATATCTTATGAAGTAAGATAGAACTTGTTATTTCTTTATATACAGAAATAGAGATGAAACTATGTATTTATATCTGAAGAAGAACAAATAAAAATACAATTTGGTTTTTGATTGAGGCGACAGCTTAATTCATATAAATGCAGATGAGCTGTAGACGGCATTTCCAAGTAGGAGGTCATAAAAATCACAACTCTGAAGATACAAAATCTTATTCATGTGCATAAGCCTTCTCCATTTGAAGGGAGTGTGGTTTCCCAAATCTAAAAAATACCAAGAAGGAAACAGATAATAAGGACAACTTATGTCACCTGACCTAATTTGATCATGTTTTTAGCACAGAAGGCTAAAAACCAGGACAGGCCAGTTTCCTCTTACCCTTCCAGTTTACATGGTGCCAATGAAGCTTTTCTGCTGTTGACTTGAGAAATTTGGACCCCACAGCATCCAAATCAAACATTGGTGATGCTTTAAATTTTAGAAGAATGGAGTTTTCACCATCTGATTACAGTTATCTGATTCTTTCATAGAAAGTCAACACCATTATCCAGAGATTAAATCAGATATTTACACCTGCTGTACTTAAAATGTTTTATAGTCATATGACAACTAAGGCAATAAAGAATATGTTCAGTACTTAAATGTGTACTTTCCAGGCTTTTAAAACACAAAATTCATTTAAATACAAATTCATAAGAACCTTATAAATTATATACTTAATACAATAGACAATTTAGAAAATCATCCCTGTGTACTTATCTAGAAACATGCAGAATTAAAGAGCAGACAGCAATTACACAGGAACACTATGGTAATAGTAAAAATGCAGCTCTTTCACTGATGATGGCTATTTGCAGTGTGATTAACACTGCGAGCAGTCTAAATGAAAACTGACCTCAATTTGTGCAAATCATGTTTAATTAAAGACTAGATAGAAATGTTCATGGGATACAATGTAGTGAAATGAAAATTAAATTTGTATAATAGATTGCAGGCATTTGTTTTTGTCACAGATCAAGTCATTATCATTTTCAGAAAAAAAGGCCCACATCTATTTTCAATACAGTGAAATTATCACGATTATTTTTGTATCTAAGAAATACTTGACACTGTAGTTATTGCTTTATGTAAATAAAAATTCCCATAATCCATCAGTTTACAGTTCAAGTATAATAATAGTAGCTGAGCTTCTATGGCTACCTTGTAAGAATTTTTAGTGGTTTTATAATGTATTCCTAGTTAGAGCAAGAATCGGCATTCTGAAAACATAAGAATTTGCTATTTTCCATGTTCTGTGCTTGGTGCCCTGTGACTAGGCTGCTCATGCTGTCTCAGGTGAAATCTCCTTACACACATTTGCTTTTTCTCATGGCCCCCTTTCTACTTTTTTTTTTTTTTTTTTTTTTTTTTTTTTTTTTGCTTTTTGATAAAGGGAAAATGAAGTGAATAAAGAAGTAGGGAATATATGTGAGATGAACAGTTGAATTTCCTCATTTAAAAAAAAAAACAAGAATTTCTGAGCCTGGTTTTAAGTCAATTACACAGGTTCATTCTTCTCTGGATAGTACAAGATGATTGACCATGGTGATGTGCTTTTTCCCTGTAGCTCTGTAAATGTGGGTACTTGTGCACATACTTCTGCACAAGTCTGTAAGGGTGTGTTCTGAAAAGATCAAGTGAAACAGGAGACCTTCCTCTAGAGGGCAGTGCCTTCCAAATGGGTGTCCACATAGGTCCAAGGGAAAGGTGCTGAGTTTTTGACTGGCTGTTCTTGCTCCTTTTTAGTGAATGGGTCCACCCTGTTACCTCTGCTGATGGTTGCCTTCACTGACATCAGTACCTAGTTTCTTTGGCCTTCTGACATTAGTACAAAACCACATTTCTCCAGAAAACATCCCTTCACCACCAAATTGAACTCCACCCTGTCCTATAGACGCCCTGTAGCTACTGGGTTTGCAGATTTACCAGAATGAAAAACGCCATTGTTGGCCTAATTGTGCAAGCACATCTAATATATCTTATCTTCATAACGTATGGTCACCCTATTTGTTTTGTTCTTTAAAAAAGCATGAATATTCAGTGTCCTAGTTAGTGTTGCTATTGATGTTGTAAAAACACTATGAAAAAAATAGCAAGGGGAATATAATGGTTTAGTTAGTTTAAAGTTCCATATCATAGTCCATCCTGGAAGAATGTCAGGGTAGGAACTGAATCAGGTTGAGCCAGGAGGCAGCAACTTAGAGATGTTGGAGGAGTGCACTAATGCCTTGCACTCCCTGCCTTGTTCAGCCTGCTTTCTTGTAGAACCCAGCACCACCAGTCCAGGAGCAGGTATACCCACAGCCATTCATTAAGAAAATGCCCTGCTGGCTTGATTCTAGCCCAGTCTTAAGGAAGTTGAGGTTCCCTCTTCTCCAGTAACTCTCTAGCTTGTTTCAAGTTGACATAATACTAGCTACTGCATGTGGTAACCAACTTCTGAATATACATATACATATATGTTTATATATATATATATATACATATATACACATATGCATATGTCTTTCATAGATAGATGGAAAGAGATAGTGATCTATATAGATAGATGATAGATAAATAGAAGATAGATAGATAGATAGATAGATAGATAGATAGATAGATAGATAGGTACATGATAGAGATTTTATCAACCCAAGCACATTTTAGGAACACTTTGGTGACAACTATGTTGATAATTGAGAATTTATTTAGATATTCACATCTTAGTTATTTTTCGACGGCTCTGATAAGATGTCATGACTCATACAATAGAACAGAGAGTTTACTGCAATATTGAAGTTTCAGGAGGTTATAATCCATGCTAGGAAGCACAGCAGCAGGCAGGCAGGCAGGCAGGCAGGCATAGTGCTGTAGCTGTAGCTGTAGCTGAGAGCTTACATCTTGATCCACAAGTAAGAGGCAGAGTGGGCTAACTAGGAATGGCCTGAGTTTTGAAACCTCAAATTTTATCCCCCAGTGACACTTTTCCAATAGGACTATACCTCTTAATTCTTCCCAAACAGTTCAAACAGCTGGCGATCAAGTATCAAACATATTAGTCTATGGGTGTGTTAATAATTCAAACCACCACATTCTAGTCTCTGTGAATTGTATCTCCTTAGGGTTCTTGGTATACCAAAATGCAAAATTCATTTAGTTTTAGTTCAGCTTCACAAATCTCCATAAGCTTTCTTATCACAATAGTTTAAAAGTCCAAACTCTCTTCATTGTAATCATCTGTAGGAACAAAGTAATATTGCACAGTTTCAATATATATTGGCGACGAATATATATTACCATTACAAAAGGGAAAAAT